GAAAAACAGTTCTTTTTGTCATTACAGCAAAGGTACACTCCACAATGAACACATTTAGAGTAGGGTTTCGATTGAATTTTTTGCAAGCTACAAAATTCACATCTTCCTCGAACATTAACAAAAATTGGCCAGTGAACACCAAGATTTCCTAATCGTACATCCTTACAAACAGAGGCGTTTTGTCCTCTGCGCCTTTTGGAGTTAGTGACTAACTCATCGTTAGATTTAGATGTCAAACTTTTTCTCTTTAGGTTTGGGCATTTTTGGGTCATCAATCCTAAACTAACAGATCTCCTGAATTGCAAAAGTGTACATTTTTCCGACGACTGACAGTAAATCACATAAGCGTTGATGAATGCTATTTCTAACAGACCCCAAAAAATTCGGCACCACCACTTTTTGGATTTCCTGTCAAGGCCATAAGCACTCCGCAATTGATCAGCATGATCAACTCCGCCCATGAAGGTATTATAGTCCTTGACCACTATTGGACACTTTATATCATTAACATTGCCTTTTTGATCCCTCCTAGGAACGGTCATAGATTCAGATCCATGGAAATTCGATGCCAGAAAAATTGCCTTCTTATCCATCCACTTGTAGAAACTTATGCCACTAGAAGATAGCCTGAAATCGTTATCTCCTCTTTTCATTTTCTTATCAGTGACCAAGTTTTTTGGGGTTCCTTTTCGGTTGGCGCGAATAGTGCCGCAAGCTAACGTTTGTTCTGTTTTTAATTTTTCAAGAAGGTGAACAGATGTGAAGTAGTTATCGAAATAATTATTTTATTTTTTCCCCACTCCTCTTCAGTCATTGACAAGACAACTCTTTCTCCAAGACCGAAACCTGCATACTTTTCTTCCAACCCTTCATCCTTGCCTTGGTAGATAGAAAATTTTTTTATATAGCCATATTGGTCAGCCAAGCACCAAACTTTATATCCTCTCTTTATTGGCTTCATTGGGCAATACTGCTTCATTACATTTCTTCCTTTAAATAGTATCATCGATTCGTCAACGGAAAGCTGTCGAGTGCCGTTATAAACTTGTTGAAATTTCTTATTCAAACCATCGATCATTGGTCGAAGTTTGTAAAGTCGATCCTTATTTTCTTTAGGAATCATTGAATTATCGTTAACATGCAGGTTACTCAAAATCTCATCAAATCTATTACGAGTCATAGTTTTGCTAACAATTGGCAAACAAAAATCTTCACTCGTGCTCCAGTAATCTTTCCAACTTCGAAGCTTGTGATATCCCATGAAAAAGTTGATTCCAATAAAAGCATGCAACTCACCTTTCTTCAAATTTAAAACTTTATGCTTTTGGGATGCATACAAGTTCGATTGGAATATTATATTTTCGGTGATGTCCGCAATAAGTGCCAGAAAATATTATGTAGGTGTTGTATACGATTCGAAATATCCTGTTACAGGTCCTTCTGGTAAAAAGAAATCAGGAATACTTGTTTCATGCTGTTTTAGCTTCCAGTGGCGATTCGGCTCAATACTTCTGCCTAAGCGTTTGCCTCCGGTATTCGAGTGAACTTGTTCTAAATTATCAGCTTGAACACGATTTGCGCTTTCTTCAAACGGATTGTCTTCAAGTTCCTTGGGTTCGACATTTTCGTCTTCTAATATTTCTTGTAAGTAACGTTCCATTACACTGTCGTCATCAGGATATATAATGTCTTCGCAATCGCTTTCACTCTCAATATCTGTATTTTCTCCATTATCAATTGGAATTTCTTCAAATATTTCCAAAATTTCATCTCTATTTAGACGTTTGGTTCGCAATCCTGCCATGACGCTATCATGTGAATAAGAATAGAAGGGTTGAGAAAGTGTTTGAGTTAGAGGTACCCGGTGCCTAAAGGTACTTACCAGTCCGTTTAATATATTTGTCAATTAAACACAAAATATTGCAAATACTTGTTTTAGTAGTATTTGCGAGATAAATAAAATTGTTATTTGGGAGGTATATAGCACTTAAATAGTCGAAATGAATAAAATATTCTAAATTTTGGCCACTCCAAAATAACGCAATGATCATGAGCAGCGAATGCTTAACACTGATTCCAAATAACCGTTTATTTAAGCGCTTGGAGTTGCCAAGCAATAATATTTGATTTATTTCGATGTAATATAGTGTACTTTAAAGTACCGATGGTTAAAAAGCTCACATATATTTTTCCTAAAGATGTTCCAAGCCAATCGAAACCCTGAATAAGCGAAATAAACAATTCCAAACAAAAGCTTAAACTTTTCGGCCCTGGTGATAATCCTTTTGAAAATTTTTTGTATCAAAGAGTTTTTGAACAATTCGCTTTATAATAAGTTGCAAATTTCCTTCTAACAAACCTTTTTCCCGCCACTTTTTTTGTACTCCTTGTGATTGACTCGATTTATCCAAACCGGTTTCTATCGGTTTTTATTTTTAGTATTTTTAGGCGTTTTTTCTGAAATCTTAATTTTTTGAATACTGAGTAAAAAACTGGATTTTTACAATGGAATAAACCGGGTTTTCACCTAATTTTCTTACAAATATACCTGAAAATATAAAAATTCTAAGTATTTACTTGATTGAAAATAGAACTACATAGAATATTTGTATTAATTTTACATCTGAATACTGAACATTTTTCCACTGCAGAAAATTACTTAAAAAATTAAAGAAAAACCGAACAAAAATTACTGTTCACTGTTTTTTTTTTTTTTTTGGTGTTATGGACCTTCTTCAAAATTCTTTTCCATTAAGCTTTCATAAACCACTTTATTATTTGAATTAAATTTTTTTAACACTCCTAAAAAATATCGAATAAATAAATCATTATGAAAAGGCATATCGTCCCCTCAATATAACAATAGCGTATGTGCTCATACGCCATTATTTTTTTATTGCATATTTAGAATCTCCATCATTGATTCTATGTCTGGTCAAAATTTCGTCAAATTCTACTTTCACAAAGTGGGTCAAAATGTCATTGGAAAAAATGGTGTATAATTTCTTGTTCAAAAATTTAATAGACATCTGATTTGACAAAAACTTTAAACTCGATTTTCTCAAAACCCAAAAAAAATTATACGCTATTGTTATATTGAGGGAACGATATAATCAAATTATTTGAATTAAATTTTTTGAATAGGTGCCAACACTCCTAAACAATATTTTTGGGAGTTAGTTTTGTTTTTCAACATCTTTAGTTTGATACCCGTACCGTAATCATGTGTTATATATTTTATCAATTTAATTGAATACAGTTTTTGAAACATGTTGAAACCCTATTCAAAAATATTAAAAAAATAAGCTTTCGTAAACCTTATTACTTTTACATCCAAATTGTAATACATTTTTCATTTAACTAATCGGAATTTTTCAAGCAGGTGGCAACTTACTATTTTTTATAATTGAAATATTTCGAAGTTTATAGCGAAAAAAAATCATAAAAAGAATTATTCTTTTTGTTGAAGACATTTAGTTAGAATTTTGTTAGCGTTACAGGGTGATTCAAATATCAAAAACCTACACCGTGCGAAACCTCTCGCTCCACTCAAAAACGTGATGTGAAAGCGTCAAATGGAAGAACGAAAAAGCGTTGACCAATACATACATAAATACAATACATATGACAAAATCTGGAGAAACCGCCCCTGCCAGCCACGGCTCACCACTTTCCCCTGAAATTCAAATGATTTACCAACACATACCCAACTTTTTTGTCATCTCACCCACACACTCAAAAGTTGTCGAAAAAAGTTTCCATAAGTAAGAGCAGCGTAGCTATCATGATTCAATAATGAAAGGTTTTGTAAGAAAAACTTTCTCTCGCTCTAATTTTATCAATGACACTCCCACCATACTCCTAAAAACAAAAACAGTGATATTTCTTTTCCAAATATCTTTGCAAGTTTTAAGAACATTTTTAAATTGTTAGTAGTGAAATTTTTACTTTTTAAATTTGAAGAAATGTTTGTTCTTCATTCGCTGGCGCCAACAAGACAAAATGTGTGAGCATCGTTGGACTACAGAAATTCAATGTAGGCTAAAGAGACGAAATTCTCTTAAATGCCGAAATATATTTGTCGATATTCGTGGAGACCTCTTGATTCTGCCAAGTCGCTGTAAAGTAAAGCATGCAATGGTTTTGGTAAATGAGCCAACGAAGGTATTTAGGTATTGTCCTCCACAACACACTCCTGGTGTCTCCGAATGAGGCTTTGACGCAATATAATATTGCCAAACCGCATCCATAGGCCCAATCGTCACACGACAGCTCGGTTTAGTCAATGGCGCGATGTATGTAATTGCACACTTAAAAGGTTTACGCACGAGGCGAATGTTGGCTGGCGACCAACTTTGTTGAAAGCGATTAGTTGAAAGTAGAATGCAAAGTTGAACAATGCAAACGCCTTTTTATGGCGAATATTTTTATATTTTTTTATATTTTGATATTTTTAATCATTCAAATTTTCGGGCAACCCGGCGAATGGTTAATATTCTGACAGTTGTATAGTCTCCCCAGAATATTAAAAGTGCGACTTCAAAGAATTCGAATTACCATATTCGAAACAATCGAGCCATATCCGCGAAGGAAACTTAAGCTCCAAATTTTTTTATTTGCCGTTTTTTTTTTGTTTAATAAATACTGCATATTTTCCACAAACAAATAGCTTCTTCATATCCATCATCTGTCAAACAAATACAACAAAAAAAAAGCTGAAAGTGGACCATCCATTCTCGAGTTATGCGCCATCTGACGTACGCAAGTTTGGTATATACATAGAAATATTTATTTTCAATAACAATCGGGGGTTATATTCGATGTAAATAAGCTTGTTTAAATTAAATAATTAAATCAAATTCGTTTTTGTTTTAAAATACCACCATTCACTATTATCCACACCTTTTTATGGAATTTAGCTCCCATTTTAGGAAGTGTGATTGAATTCTTCCCCTTTTTCCCCTGCTTCCATAAACCATCCCTGTGGGTGGGAGTGCCAAATATTAGAAAAAAGCTACTTACAAAACCTTTAATAATTGAATCATGCGTAGCTATAAGAATTCGCACTCTTAATAAGAATTATATGCGTTAGAGCGAGTAAGTGAAAATCAGGCGAAATTTGACAGCGAATTTCAAATTTGATTCTAGTAGGCTGCGAAGAAAAACATCAATTTCGCGCAAAATTTTGGAGGTAAGAAGCGATTTAATTTGATTAAATGTAATTTTTCTTTTATTAAATACATATATGTATATTTTATATATCCATAGATAGCCAAACATCAGCAGGAGACTGAAGCCATCAGAACCTTGAAGGTAAGAAGACTAAAGTTTCCCAATTTAACATAGTTTGGCTGAGTTCCACGTTGGTATATTGCAAAGCATTAGCCTCTTTTATTTCTAAACTAAATATAACTAATGGAAAAGTGCAATAAGCGCAACCATGTTCAAACGCCGAATTGGAACTTAGTTGGGCAATTTGGTCATTTCCATCAGTTATAGTTTAGAAATAAACTTCGGCTGATGCTTTGCAATATACCAACTTGGAAGTCAGCCTTTAACCATTGTTGACAGTTTCATTTGATTATAATGTAATTATTTCTTTTAGATTGCCAAACATCTGTAAAGACATCCACAGCACACTGAACACCATTGGTCACCAACAGCTCTCAACCCTACATCATACCAGCTGCATTGTTCGGTGAGTTTTATTGTTCAAATCAGTCATGCCCAGCGCAAGGCACTTGCATATGGAATTCTGCCAGCGCAGGGCATTTGCTTATGGAGTTCTGCCGACGTTGGGCATGACTGGTTTAAATATTCAGAAACGCGGTTGCTCCAAGTGCAATGCAAATATGTATGTACTTTTG